CTCACAGAACTGGTTGATTATAGCCACAAATAAGACAAATATATGAAGGCGAAACTAATTGAAATGAATGGAATTGCACAGGAAACCAATAGTAATGAAAAGGAAGCTGGGACTCAAATCAATGGAGTGGACCAGAAGAAAGCAAATAATGGCCAAACAGAAAAGAGTCAAGAAGCAAGAATTCAAAGAAATGAGGAGAGTCTTAGGAACCTCCAGGACATCTTTAAATGCTCCAACATCCGAATTATAGGGGTACCAGAAGGGGGAAAGGAACAGCCACCAGTGGAAAAACTTATTTGAACAAATAATAAAGGAGAATTTCCCCAATCTGGCAAAGGAAATAGACTTCCAGGAAATCCAGGAAGCTCAGAGAGCCCCAAAGAAGTTGGACCCAAGAAGGAACACACCAAGGCACATCATCATTACATTAGCCAAAATTAAAATGAAGGAGAGAATCCTAGAAGCAGCAAGAGCTAAGGGGACAGTCACCTACAAAGGAGTTCCCATCAGACTGTCAGCTGATTTCTCAAAAGAGACCTTACAGGCAAGAAGGGGCTGGAAAGAGGTATTCCAAGTCATGAAATCCAAAGACCTACAACCGAGATTGCTCTATCCAGCAAAGCTTTCATTTAGAATGGAAGAACAGATAAAGTGCTTCTCAGATAAGATCAAATTCAAGGAGTTCATCATCACCAGGCCCTTATTATATGAAATGTTAAAGGGACTTATCTAAGAAAAAGAAGTTAAAGAAACATGAACAGTGAAAGGACATCAAACTCACAGTTATTAACAACCACACCTAAAACAAAAGCAAACTAAGAGGACAGATAGATCAGGAGTGGAAACATAGAAATGAAGATCTCAAGGAAGGTTAGCAACAAGGGAGTGGGAGGAGGAGAAGGGGGGAGAAGGTACAGAAAATAAGTAGCATAGACAGTAGATAGAAAATAGATGGGGGGGGCGAGAATAGCATGGGAAATATAGAATCTAAATAACTTGAGACACATGGTCATAAACTAAAGGGGGGGGTAATGGTGGGGACGGGGGGGTAAGGTGGAGGGGAATGAAGGGGGGAATAGAACAACTGTAACAGCATAATCAATAAAAAAAGACGAATGGTAGAGGACTCCAGAAGCCCTCTGTCTCACTCAGCCATAATCCCTGTTGGTTTTCATACCCAGAAGTCAAGGGGACTTCTCTTCCTGGCACTGGAATCCTGGGCTAGGTAGCCTGGTGTGGGGCTGAGACCCCTCACTTTCAGGGTAGACCTCCACCTTTGAGTGCAATTTTCATATGCAACATGTGGGTACAGGACCAGCCCATTCCACATCTCCACCACTCTTACCAGTCTCAATATGCTTCTTCTTTATTTATTTTTATTTACTTATTTTTCAATCCTTACCTGAGGATATGTTTATTGATTTGAGAGAGAGAGAAACATCAACTGATTGCCTCCCATATGCACCCAGACTGGGGATCAGACATACAACCTAGGTTTTTGCACTGACCAGGGATTGAACCTGCAACATTTTGGGGTATGGGATGATGCTCCAACCAATTGAGCCAGCAGGCCAGGGTTGGCTTCTTCTTTATAGCCTTAGTTATAGGACTTGTGTTCAGCTAGATTTTATGTTATTCTGAATCATGTGTTTTCTGTAGCCTAGTTGTAATTTTGATGTGATTGTGAGAGGATTTGGGTACTGCATTACCTACACCACCCTCTGGACTGGAACCCGCCCATACCACTTATTTGTTGAAAGAGCTCAAAACTACCTACACCTGGCCAAGTCAAGAACATGGTAGAGTATAGCCTACGTCTAATTTTAGGATAGGACACCTCCTCCCTTCCCCAGAGTTCCCTATGTCCAATTCATTTTCTGCAGCTCTCTCTTTTCTGTCCCATGTTTGGGTTATTTACAGTGTTTATAAACCTTGGGGGTAATAATAAAAATGTCCCACTTAACTTTAGTGTGATTTTTAGCATAAATAGGGTCTCATTCTTAGCTTATACAGCAATTTACAACCTTTTTCATCTTGTGGCACACATAAACTAATTACTAAAATTCTGCAGCACACCAAAAATTTTATTGTTTTTTGCTAATCTGACAAACAATAGGTATAATTTTGATTCATTCATACTGGATGTTATCATTATGTTGACTGTTGTCACTTTTTATTTGACAATCTAAGGGAAAAGAGGTCAGTGCCCCTGACCAAATGGTCAGGTATTGCATGTTTTAAAATTTTTTGCAGCACATTGGTTGAAAATTGCTGGCTTACATAGTAATGACTACTATATGTGACCCCTGAGACTTATGAGTCTTATTCTAGGGACACTTCCTGCTTTCTCTGGTTATCTCTGACTTATTTACTGTCTCCAAGTGTCCACTTTACTACAGACACAGAGAAATACACATTTATAGGGTATATATATATAATCTTAATAAAAGAAAATACCAAACTCTGTCTATATCTATAGAGGAATGCATACCCTTGTTCTATAAAGAGGCAGCTACACAAGAGTGGAAATAGACATCCATACTTCACCTTTTTAAAGTATAAATCTGATCATATCACATCCTCCATTCCAGGCTTCAACCCCTTTCGATGGCTTCCAGTTTCTTCAAGGATACCTCTGGACCCTGCAGTGTCAGTTTCTATGTCCCTAGCTGCCCTTCACTCTCTCTTATCCAGCTGCCCCAGCCTTCTCTGAGTCCTCTTACTTCCCAGACTCCCTCACCATTGCACACATCATCTCCTCAGCCTCTAATGATTGCCTCCTGCCCAGTTGTTCACTCACCTTTCAGATCTTATTTTAAGCAAAACCTCCACAGGAACAACTCTTGCTCCACATTCAAATCCCCCCACATACATGTGTAAAAAGCCATGAGTATCTTTGGAGCATTTACCACACTTGGAATTTTACTTATGTGTGAAAAAATATATATTTGTCTGCTTCCCCAGTGAGATTAAAAGCTCCTGAGTCCAGGGATCTCTCCTGCTTGCTATTTACTGCTCCCTAGTTCAGTGCTTGGTACACAGTAAGCTCCCAATAAATAGTTGAATGACTAGATGAATAAGTGAATATGTGAAAGCACTTTGGAGAGCAACATGCACTCAATATATGTAAACTTTATCTTTTTCAGCCCCCAGCACATATTTACATTTCATGTCACTTAAAAATAGGTGCCTAATTATAACATCATCTGACCTCAACCAACAGAACACCCTGTGTTCAAGTCACTTTTCTTCACTTCCTCATTTATGGTTTCCCAGTTTCAATATTAGAAAATTACATGTGAACTGCACTGACCCACATCTCAGAATGTCATGAAAACTCACTGTTTAGAAAACTCACAATGGGTAAACTTTCAAGTTACCCACATATTCTAAAGAAATTGGTGTGACTTTTGTCCCATGACAACAGGAGCATGGGTCAGATAAGGATCGATGTCATGACAAAGTCCGAGAAAGAGCCCAGGGATCTGCTTTTCTATCTCCACATGTGTTGACACGACCTTTTGGTAGCTTGGGGTTTATGTATGAATTCTTTTCCCATGTATAATTATAGGACATGAACCTGATTCCAGTTGCAAAATAGTGACCAACATATACACACAAAATCTCCAAACTGTAATTTCCTCAGTTAATTATACATTTAACTTTCAAATTGCTTCAGATCTATGCAAATTAGATCTATTAGATATAAATTTCAAAACCATTCACTTTTATTTATTGCTTTAGTGGTGGTGCAATCTAAGTGTAGAATTCTAAGGGTTTTGGTGTAATGTGCTTATTTATTTATTCAATGTATATTTATTGGATGCCTACTAAGTGCCAAGCATGCTGCCATGAGCTTTCATGAGAACAGTAGATAAGCACACCTTATCTCTGCTTTCACAAAGTTTATAATCTAGCTCATGAGGCCAACATGGAGCAACATTCACAACACTAGCAAACATGGTAAGTTCTAGAAAGTTCAGGATGCTGTGACAGTGTGTCATAGGAGATGTCAGCTGCCTGGAGGTTCACAAACTTCCTTGGAGGAAGTTACATTTCAGCTGAAACAGGCTGCAATCTGCTTGGGGTTGTGCAACTACCTTCACACCCAGTTCTGACACTCATACATGTTAGTGACTCAGAGCTTGGGTCCTCGTGTGTGAAATGAGGATAATACTCACCTGGCAGAGTTGTGGGTGATGAGAGAGAACACAGGTAAAGCACTTCTTGTAGTATCAGGCATGTAGTAAATACATCAATGTAGGCCTCAAAAGAAAACTGGAAAAAAAAAAAAAGTCTGGCCAACAGCTAAAGATAAATGTGCAGAGAAGAAATTTGGGAAATGTCACAAATTCAAGGGACAGTCACTACCTCACACTTGTAGGAGGCATTATGTGCTGAGTTTCATATGTTAGAGTACTTAATGCTTCAAGGCTGTGCTAACTAGGTTTTCATGAAACGTTGATAAGGAACTTTTGGAAGTGCTCTTTCTAGCTGTAGGCTAGCCAATGCCCGGGTCAAATTTTTCAGTCAAAAGTAAGATACCTGGGAAACAGCTCTCTGGACAGAGCACATGCGGGCTAATCAGAATTTGTCAAGCTCAAGTAACGAACAAAGTTTTATAAACAAGGTGAAGGAGCAAGCGATGAATGCTCAACTGGAGATTTCAGTTAAGGGTCGAAAGACCTGGCACCACCTGGATGGGTTGTGGAAGAGGGAAACACTGGTGTTCCCAGCGGAGCGCACGTGGAAGTCGGCCCTGGACATCCAGCGCTCCTCCCAAGACGCTCCTCCCCAGGCCTCCTGGGTGTTTGGATGGTGGCCATGCCAAATGGGTGTGGGTGATTTTGAAGGTGGACTTGACTACCACTGAGGGGAAGGATCGCATGCAAGGCAATGGCAGTGAGAGGGCGAGGCGGAGCAGTGGGAGGGTTTCAGGCAGGCGGGGGAGGGTTGCTGGGTGCAGTGGGTGGGGTGAGGCGGGGTGAGCTGGTGGAATAAAAGAGAAAAGGGCGCTGAGGCGTGAGTGGAGGAAGTGCGCCAGGTCTCCTGGCTTGCTGCGCCGCTTGCTGGTGGGACAGCTAGGTGAGCCGGACATGCTGCTGCGCTTGAAGTTGGGGCTGCACCCGCTGCTGCCGCTGCTGCTTCTGCGGCTGCTGGGTGCCTCCTCCCCCAGCGTCCTAGCTGCACCCGCACAAACCAAGGACGCAGTGGAGCTGGACTTTTCCACTGAGCAGCCAGTGCACCTGGTGAGCCCCGCCTTCCTGTCGTTCACCATCGACGCCAACCTGGCCACGGACCCGCGGTTCCTCACCTTCCTGGGGTAAGCGCCGACCTGTGGGTCCCTGTGCCCCTGTGCCCTCTCCTGGCCTCCTGACATGCCTGCCCTCCCTGACAGCTGCTCGCCTCCTCTCCTCTCTTTTGTCTCTTTTGCCACCCGGAAATTCTCTCTCCCTCCCTCCCGCCATTTCTCTCTACCTCTGTCTCTCTCACACCCTCATACAGCTCTTTCCTCCTGACTTCATTCATTCAGTGAGCGCCAACTGAGGGCCAGGTATTAAGGGGAAATTTAGGAAAGAAACTTACCAATTTGCCCAGCAATGCGCCCGGAAGAGGGACCCGGGTAAGTGCAAAGGAAGGGCTGTGAGCGCTTGAATTTGTTAGCACCGTGTAGGACAAATAAGATTGTGGACCATTTAGGCTTCAGTCTCTTAACTTTGTTAAGAAGAGTTTAAAAAAATTTTTTTTGAAAACTCAGTTGGAAAAGACCTCAAAGGAGAATAAGCTTACTTACTCCATCTATATCCTTTAAAATTATACACAAAATATAGTATGTATATTTTAAATAAACTTTTAAAGAGCAATGTTAGGTTCACAGCTAAATTAAGCACAAGGTACAGATTCCCCATATTATACTTTTAAAAAAATCTAAATATAAATAAATGAGACCTGGGAGACTATTTCAGCACCTCAGAGAGCCTTAATAAAAGGATGTCTCCAAGGTGAGGCTACAAAATGTGACGCTGCTTTATTGGCTATAATTTTTTTTCTCATAGGAGAAAGACCAAACCTGGTGCAGGTTCACTGGCCTCTGCCCCAGGGGTGCAAGCTGATCCCAAAACAAAGAGCTACAGGGACAGTTCCAGGTCACCTAGGCCACTCACCTAGGTCATGAGAACCTCCAGAGAAAGCCACAATTCAGCTAAGCCAGACAGCTGGGTATCTTGCCATTGCCAAACACCTACATGCTGTCCTTCCTGTGCCCACACTGTCAGCTGCCATTACTAATTTCAGTCATTTATTCTGCAAATAAAAGCAGGTAGCCTACCTGCTAATAGATTGTTGGTCAGACCACCTTGGCCTCATTCCCAGCCCTGCCAAAGCTGGTTGGCTTAGTTTTTACCTGTTGCTTGGCAACTCCAAGCCTCAATTTCTTCACCTGTAGAATAAAACTTTCTTGCAGGATCGTAATGAGGATTTGATGACATAACAAATAAGTACTTAACACAGTGTTTGACATAGAATGTTCACAGTTTAAGCTAACTACTTCTTGGAAAATGGCAAGTATTTGATAACCATTCACCAGTTCTTGTATCTTTTGATCATAGTTAACGTCCATCTTTCCATCTGTGGCAGGAGAGGGAGAATTTCTTGAGGAGGAGGAGTCCCCATTTTTAGCCCTCTTTCCCAGGGATAGGAATGTGGTACAGGCAGTAGCAGGTTGGGAGACTCTGGATTACTCTGGAGAAACTCTAAAGTATAGGGCTATATATCTGAGGACCCCAAGCTTAGCTTTGGAGGGGCAGGGAGGGATGACAAGGGAAGAGAGGGTGTGCGGTACTTGAGTGAAAACAGAGGGATTAAGTAAATGACTATTTACTGAAATGTTGGAACTCAGTTTCTATTCTGTTGCTGGTGCTGCAGCCCCTGCCCCACCCCTCCCCAAGGAAGGGCATTTGGGCATACCTTCCTGGAGAAACAGGTCCAAAAAAAAAAAAACGTATAGTATGACTTGTGGGGTCCAAATCACCCTGCAGTTAAACTAACCAATTGCCTAGGACCCTCAGCCCCCTACAAACTCAGAACTTCCAGGCTGCCCAACTTAGTGAGGATGATACCTTCTCCTCATCTTAAACCCATCTCTTAATATCCCATAGCACTCTTTCTTCCTCCCTGGCCCCCACCTTTTTGTTAAAGGCTGGAGGATAATGAAAACCAAAAAAGCCTAGCATACAGATAAAACCAAAAAAACCTAGCATACAGATAAAAAGCCTAGCAATAGATAAAACCATTTTTTTTTATTTATAAAACACAGTGTATTCCTGTTTATCTGGGCTTCTCTCCAGGGCTGGCTTCTGGGCACTCTAGATTCCTTCCATAGCAGAGGCTATCTTCCATGCCTGCTCTCCAGAAGCATCTGCAGTCACTCCCATACTATTCCCAGGTGAGGCCTAAAAGGCCACAGCTCAGAGAGACAGGAGCACCCTCTCTTTCTCATTTAAAACCTGCTTCTAAAGCAGGATCTGAGGGTCCACCCCCCCCCCCATGGTTAGCACAGTGCCCAGAGTGGCCTGGCCATCTCAGAAGATAAAACATTTAGCTTCCATCTCAGAATACAACACTAAGCTTGAAAATATTTTTTAAGGCAACAGAGTAAGATATGGACTTAAAAAAGATTGTCTGGAAACAAATTGAGACAGTTGATATAGTGAAAAGAAGCACCAGCCTGACAATAGGAGAATCAGGGTCTAAACCTCTCAGGTACTTTGAAGGAGGCCTAGCAGAAAACAATCAGATGGCATGGCTCTGTTTCCCATGATGGCAGATTTTTTTCTTTCACATTTGCAGTTAGAAAACATAGAGTACACAGAATGTAAATGCCAATGATAGAACAATATAGAATTTTAAAGGACGATCTTTTCAATTTGCCTTTTCCCAAGAGGTAACTAATCAACAACCCAATCAAAAACCTCCTAAGCCTGACTCTGTGTGGAGCTCTCAAGAGGCCATGGCCCTTAAAGATGGGAGGGATGGGAGAGCTGAAACCAGCACCGCTCAATAGGCATAGAATGTGAGCCTCATCTGCGAGCTCCATGTATAATTTTAAATTTTCTAGTAGCCATGTTAAAAAGAGGTAAAAAGAACCCAGTGAAATTAATTTTAATAATGTATTTTATTTAAATAAAATATTATTTTAACATGCACTTAATATAAAAATATTAATAAGCTATTTCACATTTGTTTTCAAACCAAGTCTTCAAAATCTGGTATATATTTTATACTCGCAGACCATCTCAAATTCAGTCTAGCTACACTCAGGCACTCAACCACTGGTGGCTAGTGGTTACCACATTAGATGGTGCAGTCCCTGTTTCAATCAAGCATGATTCACTAGTACAAGGTAAAAACTGAGCTCTGAGTCAGTGACAGAGATGCTGAAACTACAGAGGAGTACTGTGGTGCTAAACAGTGATAGCAATAACAGTTGTGCTTACTTTTCATAAGGATTTGCTTATTTGCCTTCGGCAAAGTTCATCACTTTTTGCCAATTTGATAAATATTTATTAATAATAACTTTTGATAATCAGATTCCTGTATTTCCACTCACAAAGTTGCTGTCAATATTTGGAAAAGCACTTATTATCAATCTCAAGTGCAAGCATTTTTAAGTATATTTTATTGATTATGCTATTACAGTTGTCCCACTTTTTTCCTCTCATTTATCCTTCTCCACCCTGCACACCCCATCCCTCCAAAAGTTCTCTCCTTTAGTTCATGTCCATGGATCATACATACAAGTTCTTTGGCTTCTCCATTCCCTGTACTATTCCTTTTTTTTTTTTTTTTAATGTATGAACAGTTTATTTTATTGTTGTTCAAGTACAGTTTTCTGCATTTTCCCTGCACCCCTCCCCACCACCCCAGCCCTCCCGCCTTGTTGTTGTCCATATGTCCTTTATAATTCTTCCTGTAAACCCTTCCCCCTTTCCCTTCTTTATCCCCTCCCCTCTCCCCTCTGATCACTATCAGCCTGTTCTCAATTTCAATGTCTTTGGCTATACTTTGCTTGCTTGTTTGTTTTGTTGATTAGGTTCCTGTTAATAATGAGATCATTCCCTATATTATTCTTAACCTCCCTGTCTATTTTGTGCCTGGCAATTATGTTTCTTATTCCCTGTAACTTTCCCCCCATTTTCCCCCTTCCTACTCCCTGCTCATAACCTTCCATATCTGTGATCTCCATATCTGTGATTCTCTTCCTGTTTTGGTTGTTTGCTTAGTTTGTTTTGTTTTTGCCTTTGCTTTTTCATAGGTTCAGTTGTCGATAGTTGTTTGTCGTCATTTTATTGTTCATAGTTTTTACCTTCTTTTTCTTAGATAAGTCCCTTTAACATTTCATATAATAAGGGCTTGGTGATGATGAACTCCGTGAACTTGACCTTATCTGAGAAGCACTTTATCTGCCCTTCCATTCTAAATGACAGCTTTGCTGAATAGAATAATCTTGGCTGTAGGTCCTTGCCTTTCATGATTTTGAGTAATACTTCCCAGCCTCTTCTTTCCTGTAAGGTTTCCTTTAAGAAACCTTTCCTTTAAGAAGGTTGCCTGTAAGAAATCATCTGATAGTCTTATGGGACTCCTTTGTAGGTAACTCTCTCCTTTCCTTTTGCTGCTTCTAGGATTCTTTCCTTCATTTTAATCATGGGTAATTTAATTATGATGTGCCTTGGTGTGTTCCTCCTTGGGTCTAACTTCTTTGGGATTCTTTGAACTTCCTGGATGTGCATGTCTATTTCCTTGCCAACTTGGGGAAGTTTTCCTTCATTATTTTTTCAAATAAGTTTTCAGTGCTCTTCCTCTTCTCCTTCTGGCACTCCTATGATTCGGATGTTGAAATATTTAAAGTTGTTCCAGAAGTTCCTAAGAGAAATCATTTTTATGATTTCTTGTTTCTTCATTCTGTTCCAGTTGAATGTTTATTTCTGCCTTCTGTTCCAAATCATTTATTTGAGTCCTGGTTTTCTTCACTTCACTGTTAGTTCCCTGTATATTTTTCTTTCTTTCACTTTGTATAGACTTTATTTCTTCCTTTATTTTGCAGCCATACTCAATAATTTCTGTGAGCATCCTGATTACCATTGTTTTGAACTCTGTACAAGATATGTTGGCTTTCTCCTCATCACTTAGTTCTTTTTCTGGAGTTTTTATCCGTTCTTTCTTTGGGGCCATATGTCTTTGTCTCAGCACACATGTTACATAGTAAGGGGCAGAGCCTTAGGTATTCACCAGGTCAGGGCAACCCACGTCACTGTGTTGTGAAAC